TTATTTTTTATCAATTTGTTTTATATTCAAAAATTACAGCAATTATAACGAATTAGTAGCATTGTAAGAACTAAGAAATGTGTATTGGAAAAACAAAAAAAAAGAAGATGAAAAAAGGACTAAGAAATGTGAAGCATGAAACAGAGAGAGGAAGACGAGAGAGTTCTCTATTTTCAAAATCTTGTTGTATTAGTATAGAGATGTTTTCAAGAATGAAAGTAATTAAGAGAAATTGGAAAGATTTTAGTTTTATTAAATCACGTTCTGTTTAGCAAAAAAAAAAAAAATCACGTTCTAAACTAGGAAAAATGATAAACTTAGGAAGAAGATAAACTAGTTAGTTGGGTTAAGTCAGCAATCAGATTTTGACACCCCAAATTTACAAATTAGTAATAAGACTGTAATCAAACATTATCAAAACAAACAATCTTACTAAATCGTGTAACTGAATTACCTTGTATGGCTTTTCCAGCTTGATCTGCAAATCCTGCTCCGAGAGTAGGTGACAAAACTGATGAACCGGAAGGTAAGAAATTGTCAACCATCTTCGTCGCTACAGAAGTTTTCTGTTTTCGGTTCATCGTCGTCCATAAACCCTAATTTTTTTATTTTGTTTTGAACTAGTTTTCTTTTTCTTGGTACGTTATAATTAATTCTCTCTCTCTATCTCTTTTTTTTTATAGACCGTTTTTTCTTCCCAAACTTCGGCCCAATTAAAAGTTTGGTTGTAAAAACCAATTTGGGCCTAGTTTGTAATAGTTTAAAATGCATCTCTTAGTGAGGGGGATTAGTTTTTCATGCCCTTTTGTTTGTGTGCTTTTTTTTTTTTTAATCAGTGAATTAAGAGGCAATCCTATTCTAGACAGATGTTGTGTCTTCTCTATGACCATCAGGGATATGGAAGCAAAAGGTGTGGTTGTCCTAAATCCCTTATATTTCCATTTACTTGATAGAATCGCAGTTTTCAGAGATTTTAATCTCTTGATATTATTCTAGAGCAAAAAAAAAAAAAAATCGGATTCAGATTATTATAAACTCTGCTCTCTTGGACCTATCTACTATCAATTAGGAATTAGCGTCAACTTTTATGGTACTGCCAAATGATATCTGAAATTCTAGACATAATCACTTGAACTATATATTACAACCCCCAAAATTTTCACACTTAAGCTTCAGTTCACGACTTCCATGGATCGGACACCAATGATCGGCTAGATCTCCAACCTGACATTTCGACTGGCTCATCTCACGATGGACTCTATTTTTGGCAGTTCATGATCGCCGGTTCCAATTTAGGGTCTGTCGAACACATGGCCATGTTTCTGTGGACACAGTCAAACCCGCATGCAAACCATAACTAATGGTTCAAGTCCTATGAGGGTCCGTTCCATTGGAGTCAGAGAAGTTCTTGTCAAAATTTTGCGGAGTGAATGCCCCACAGGTCTTTACGGTGGTGTCACGGTCATAGACCTTGGACCTTGGTGAAGGGCCAACACATGCAATGTACTTTTATGTTTATGAGCTCTGCAAACATGCCATGACTTCAAGTGTGTATGACCCAACCAGGGCCGGCCCATGGGTAAAGCCCATGAAGCAAGGGCTTTAGGCATCAAATAATTATAAGTAGTTTTAGGGGCATTAATTTTTAAAATGTTACTGTGGTCTAGTGGTAAGATTGAAGTCTTTTGTTGTACATGTCACGGTTTCGAATCCCATACATGTTAAAACTTGTATTTTTTTTTCATAACAGCTTTTTTTAATGGGCCAAATTTTTTTTTGCTTTAGGCACTCAAATAGTTTGGGCCGGCCCTGGACCCAACCAACAACCACACAGCTTATGATGTCTCGGGGATTGTAGCGACGGTAGCTAGCGATGCCGTGATAAAACCTGATGGACGTGGTGAAGCAGAGGCTTCGACTCAAGGGGAGTCCATACAAAGGAGTTAGAGATTGCGTGAGGCGAGTGGTGATAGAGAAAGGTATTAGAATGTTCCATATTGCTTGCGATTAAGATTTTTGGGCAATATATATAGGATGTCGCAACCTTAACTCTTGAGCTGGTTTTTGGGTTAAGTTAGATCATATTTCTAATATGGTATCAGAGCCCACAGTTGGTCCAACAAGCAAATTTCCCACAAAAATGGTTTTCCACCCATGTAGCCCATATAAGTGACATGTCTTGTTGTATTTCCGAGATGTTGGACTTGGGCTGTTTCCCGTTAGACCGTTTCCCACCCACATCTCGAGGAGGTCTATTAAAATGTCCCACATTTCTTGGGATTAAAATATTTGGGCAATATATATAGAATGTGGCAACCCTTAAATCTTGAGCTAGCTTTTGGATTAAGTTAGACCACATTCCTAATAAAAAGTACATGAGCGTTATACTCGTCCTATAGAACCACAATCATCATGAACGCTCCTTTCTTAAAATGCATCTAACTCAAAACTAATTTGTAGTGAATACAAAACTTTCTTAAAATGCATTTTTTTAATACTTAAAATACTTCTCATGCACAACATGGATATAGTTTGGTCAATTTTTATTTCTCTTGCAAATTTGATACAGTTTTGGTTGATACATATTTGATTCATTAATCATTAAGTACCACAATTTCCACCTGGTCCTCCAAAAGAGAAGGATACCCCATTCAACTTGCTATAACCCCAATACGTTAGTCTATAACATTGGTAAGAATCTGCATAAAGTCTTGTTTTCTTATCTTCAATATCGATGCTTTGATAGTTCGAATTCTTAACTTTGACAAATGAAAAATGTGAACTTTTATGAAAGTCGATAACTGGAAAATGGCCATTTCCCATTGGAGGACTAATTCCCTCCGGAGATGGAAATGTATTTCCTCCAAAACGTACCAAAGAAACTCCTTTATTTAAGTGAGTAAATAACTCTTTAGGCCAGTAACCAATAACTTGGTCATTTAATTTTAGTACCCAATTTCCACTGAAACCATCCTGAATAATATTAAAATAGATAATAAAATAAAAACGTAAAAAATTTATAAAATTTGTAAGTACAGATGTGATTTGAAGAAGAAACACTGAAGGAATCTTAAAAACTTCAATAAATTCTATTGAGAATGGATTCGAGTATTTCAAAGCCTAAATTAAAATTATTATCTATATTATAAAAATAGAAATTAGTATTCTCGTTAAAAAAATTATCGAACATATATAAAGTAGATAAAATATTACCTGAAAAACTTGCGGTTTAGTAAAAACTGTTTCTTTACCACCATAAACAGAAGAATCATCAAACGTTGCTCCAATCGAGGGAACTCGAGAAACAATAATGAAGCCAGGACATTTTGTATTATAGCATCCAGTTCTTTTATAGCCATCTGCCTAATGAATTAAAAAGGTAAAATATATTATGCAAGAAGAAAGGATAAATGGTCTGATTCCAATTTTATAGTCGTGGTTCTTAAAAATAAAATGAAAATGAACTACTGTATTAATTGCCATGTATAGAGAACCATAATTGTGAAAATTTACTCACAGTCCAATATATTGTAAACCGCGTGAAAGTGTCCGCCATATAATCTTGGATGCACCTATATTAAATTCATGAAAACATTTGAGATATTTGATTATAAGTATTAAAATATTAACATGTTTGTTTGAAAAAGCATTAATCTTTATGTGTGTATATTTATTTATTTTTATAAGAGAGGGATCTGAGCATTAATATTTTTCTGACAGAGGGATCTGAGTATGTGGAATTTATTTTTAAATTCATGAAAACACTTGAGATATTTTATTTTTATAAAAGAGTATTCAACACTTGTACGAGAATACTCAAATTTTAGTCCCTGGATATTTCAAGATGAGTTTTCTAAACACTAAACCACCGTAAATTAGTTATCCTTTTGTATTATTGAATAGTTATTATATAGTTTTAAAGTAAATTTGATTGAGTATGTATTTGTAATAATTAGATATGCTTGTAAGTTAAGTTTTTTGGGCATTCAATTCAAAATTAATTCGCAATGAGTAGATCGGCCCATGTATCTTATATAGTAGTGGTTGTCCCTTTAAACTTTCAATATGAGATTTTAACATTATTTATTTTATGAAAGCATATTTATATATATATATATATATATAATGTCTTTTTTAGTTCCTTGTGTAAAATTGCAAGAATGTGGATGAACTATGAAGTACATATTTTGCTATTTAAGTTTGGTAACAACTTACCGCCAAACCAAATTGTATGCTGTTGAGTTGATCACGAGGTCCACTCTCTAACCAGATTTGATTTTTACTATATTGGTTATTTTGTAGAGTTAAATTATGAATACTTATCATAGCTTCTGCTCCTCGATAGATGCTCCCATCTAAAACATTTTCGATTACTGCAAACTGTACATCACGTGAAAATAAGTCTGATTATTTTAAGAATGTTTTACTTGTATTAGAATTATACAAAGAAGGAGAAAAATGCGAGTGCATATAATAATTTTTTGTGATGTGAGGTGTATAAAAATTTATATGGAATGGTATTGATATTTTAATAAAGCCATGAAGAAAAAAAAAATACATGTTGGCCGGGATATTCGAGTGTGTCGAGATGACGCTCTCAATCCATTTCTTTGTTTTAAATTGGTACAGTTCCTTTTGACTACTTTTATCATTTGTTTGATGATATCATCTTTTCTTCTAA